TTTAGGGGCATATCTCAGTAGTATTATGTCTGACATGAACATGATGTTTAGGGGCATTCAGTTATTTCTGACATGAACTGTTTTAGGCTATTATTGTTGTTTCCCAAAGGTGCTGTGTTTTTCAGCATTCCCAGTTGGAGAATTCCCTTGTGATTCTGGGAATACTCCAATCCAGGTTTTCTGAAAAAACAGGGAATTTATTTGGGAATTTTTCAACCTTTAACAGTTTGTATGACAATGTTTAAAGGGCTTTGAGACTATGAATGTAATGAATAGTGCTATAAAAGTTATTGTTAACTCCTGTGATTGATTCCCACAGGGGGCCAGTATGACATTTTTTATATATAATAATAATAATAATAATAATGTATGCACTCACTAACTGTAAGTCGCTCTGGATAAGAGCGTCTGCTAAATGACTAAAATGTAAATGATTGTCTTGTGTTGCAGTGAACCCCAACACCTGCAGCAGTACTGGCTCGGAGAAGCTGGCCCGGTTCTTCAATAAGAAGGTCACCACGCTGCCCGCTGGGTCTCCCTGCAACGACTTCAAGGGCTACTGTGACGTGTTCATGAAGTGTCGCCTGGTGGACGCTGACGGCCCCCTGGCCAGGCTGAAGAAGGCCATCTTCAACCCTGAGCTCTATGAGAACATTGCAGAGTGGATAGTGGTACGTAGCTTACTTACTGACTCTTCAATCTGAGCTCTATGAGAACAGAGTGGATAGTGGTACGTAGCTTACTGACTGACTCAACCCTGAGCTCTATGAGAACAGAGTGGATAGTGGTACGTAGCTTACTGATTGACTCACCCTGAGCTCTATGAGAACAGAGTGGATAGTGGTACGTAGCTTACTGACTGACTCTTCAATCTGAGCTCTGAGAACAGAGTGGATAGTGGTACGTAGCTTACTGACTGACTCAACCCTGAGCTCTATGAGAACAGAGTGGATAGTGGTACGTAGCTTACTGACTGACTCAACCCTGAGCTCTATGAGAACAGAGTGGATAGTGGTACGTAGCTTACTGACTGACTCTTCAATCTGAGCTCTATGAGAACAGAGTGGATAGTGGTACGTAGCTTACTGACTGACTCAACCCTGAGCTCTATGAGAACAGAGTGGATAGTGGTACGTAGCTTACTGACTGACTCAACCCTGAGCTCTATGAGAACAGAGTGGATAGTGGTACGTAGCTTACTGACTGACTCAACCCTGAGCTCTATGAGAACAGAGTGGATAGTGGTACGTAGCTTACTGACTGACTCAACCCTGAGCTCTATGAGAACAGAGTGGATAGTGGTACGTAGCTTACTGACTGACTCAACCCTGAGCTCTATGAGAACAGAGTGGATAGTGGTACGTAGCTTACTGACTGACTCAACCCTGAGCTCTATGAGAACAGAGTGGATAGTGGTATGTAGCTTACTGACTGACTCAACCCTGAGCTCTATGAGAACAGAGTGGATAGTGGTACGTAGCTTACTGACTGACTCAACCCTGAGCTCTATGAGAACAGAGTGGATAGTGGTACGTAGCTTACTGACTGACTCAACCCTGAGCTCTATGAGAACAGAGTGGATAGTGGTACGTAGCTTACTGACTGACTCAACCCTGAGCTCTATGAGAACAGAGTGGATAGTGGTACGTAGCTTACTGACTGACTCAACCCTGAGCTCTATGAGAACAGAGTGGATAGTGGTACGTAGCTTACTGACTGACTCAACCCTGAGCTCTATGAGAACAGAGTGGATAGTGGTACGTAGCTTACTGACTGACTCAACCCTGAGCTCTGAGAACAGAGTGGATAGTGGTACGTAGCTTACTGACTGACTCTTCAATCTGAGCTCTGAGAACAGAGTGGATAGTGGTACGTAGCATACTGACTGACTCAACCCTGAGCTCTATGAGAACAGAGTGGATAGTGGTACGTAGCTTAATGACTGACTCAACTCTGAGCTCTATGAGAACAGAGTGGATAGTGGTACATAGCTTACTGACTGACTCTTCAATCTGAGCTCTATGAGAACAGAGTGGATAGTGGTACGTAGCTTACTGACTGACTCTTCAACCCTGAATTCTGAGAACAGAGTGGATAGTGGTACGTAGCTTACTGACTGACTCAACCCTGAGCTCTATGAGAACAGAGTGGATAGTGGTACGTAGCTTACTGACTGACTCAACCCTGAGCTCTATGAGAACAGAGTGGATAGTGGTACGTAGCTTACTGACTGACTCACCCTGAGCTCTATGAGAACAGAGTGGATAGTGGTACGTAGCTTACTGACTGACTCTTCAACCCTGAGCTCTGAGAACAGAGTGGATAGTGGTACGTAGCTTACTGACTGACTCAACCCTGAGCTCTATGAGAACAGAGTGGATAGTGGTACGTAGCTTACTGACTGACTCAACCCTGAGCTCTATGAGAACAGAGTGGATAGTGGTACGTAGCTTACTGACTGAATCAACCCTGAGCTCTATGAGAACAGAGTGGATAGTGGTACGTAGCTTACTGACTGACTCACCCTGAGCTCTATGAGAACAGAGTGGATAGTGGTACGTAGCTTACTGACTGACTCAACCCTGAGCTCTATGAGAACAGAGTGGATAGTGGTACGTAGCTTACTGACTGACTCAACCCTGAGCTCTATGAGAACAGAGTGGATAGTGGTACGTAGCTTACTGACTGACTCAACCCTGAGCTCTATGAGAACAGAGTGGATAGTGGTACGTAGCTTACTGACTGACTCAACCCTGAGCTCTATGAGAACAGAGTGGATAGTGGTACGTAGCTTACTGACTGACTCAACCCTGAGCTCTATGAGAACAGAGTGGATAGTGGTACGTAGCTTACTGACTGACTCAACCCTGAGCTCTATGAGAACAGAGTGGATAGTGGTACGTAGCTTACTGACTGACTCAACCCTGAGCTCTATGAGAACAGAGTGGATAGTGGTACGTAGCTTACTGACTGACTCTTCAATCTGAGCTCTGAGAACAGAGTGGATAGTGGTACGTAGCATACTGACTGACTCAACCCTGAGCTCTATGAGAACAGAGTGGATAGTGGTACGTAGCTTACTGACTGACTCAACCCTGAGCTCTATGAGAACAGAGTGGATAGTGGTACGTAGCTTACTGACTGACTCAACTCTGAGCTCTATGAGGACAGAGTGGATAGTGGTACGTAGCTTACTGACTGACTCAACCCTGAGCTCTATGAGAACAGAGTGGATAGTGGTACGTAGCTTACTGACTGACTCTTCAATCTGAGCTCTGAGAACAGAGTGGATAGTGGTACGTAGCATACTGACTGACTCAACCCTGAGCTCTATGAGAACAGAGTGGATAGTGGTACGTAGCTTACTGACTGACTCAACCCTGAGCTCTATGAGAACAGAGTGGATAGTGGTACGTAGCTTACTGACTGACTCAACCCTGAGCTCTGAGAACAGAGTGGATAGTGGTACGTAGCTTACTGACTGACTCACCCTGAGCTCTATGAGAACAGAGTGGATAGTGGTACGTAGCTTACTGACTGACTCTTCAACCCTGAGCTCTGAGAACAGAGTGGATAGTGGTACGTAGCTTACTGACTGACTCAACCCTGAGCTCTATGAGAACAGAGTGGATAGTGGTACGTAGCTTACTGACTGACTCAACCCTGAGCTCTATGAGAACAGAGTGGATAGTGGTACGTAGCTTACTGACTGACTCTTCAATCTGAGCTCTGAGAACAGAGTGGATAGTGGTACGTAGCATACTGACTGACTCAACCCTGAGCTCTATGAGAACAGAGTGGATAGTGGTACGTAGCTTACTGACTGACTCAACCCTGAGCTCTATGAGAACAGAGTGGATAGTGGTACGTAGCTTACAGACTGACTCAACTCTGAGCTCTATGAGAACAGAGTGGATAGTGGTACGTAGCTTACTGACTGACTCAACCCTGAGCTCTATGAGAACAGAGTGGATAGTGGTACGTAGCTTACTGACTGACTCAACCCTGAGCTCTATGAGAACAGAGTGGATAGTGGTACGTAGCTTACTGACTGACTCTTCAATCTGAGCTCTGAGAACAGAGTGGATAGTGGTACGTAGCATACTGACTGACTCAACCCTGAGCTCTATGAGAACAGAGTGGATAGTGGTACGTAGCTTACTGACTGACTCTTCAATCTGAGCTCTATGAGAACAGAGTGGATAGTGGTACGTAGCTTACTGACTGACTCAACCCTGAGCTCTGAGAACAGAGTGGATAGTGGTACGTAGCTTACTGACTGACTCAACCCTGAGCTCTATGAGAACAGAGTGGATAGTGGTACGTAGCTTACTGACTGACTCAACCCTGAGCTCTATGAGAACAGAGTGGATAGTGGTACGTAGCTTACTGACTGACTCTTCAATCTGAGCTCTATGAGAACAGAGTGGATAGTGGTACGTAGCTTACTGACTGACTCAACCCTGAGCTCTATGAGAACAGAGTGGATAGTGGTACGTAGCTTACTGACTGACTCAACCCTGAGCTCTATGAGAACAGAGTGGATAGTGGTACGTAGCTTACTGACTGACTCAACCCTGAGCTCTATGAGAACAGAGTGGATAGTGGTACGTAGCTTACTGACTGACTCTTCAATCTGAGCTCTATGAGAACAGAGTGGATAGTGGTACGTAGCTTACTGACTGACTCAACCCTGAGCTCTATGAGAACAGAGTGGATAGTGGTACGTAGCTTACTGACTGACTCTTCAATCTGAGCTCTTAGAACAGAGTGGATAGTGGTACGTAGCTTACTGACTGACTCAACCCTGAGCTCTATGAGAACAGAGTGGATAGTGGTACGTAGCTTACTGACTGACTCTTCAACCCTGAGCTCTGAGAACAGAGTGGATAGTGGTACGTAGCTTACTGACTGACTCAACCCTGAGCTCTATGAGAACAGAGTGGATAGTGGTACGTAGCTTACTGACTGACTCAACCCTGAACTCTATGAGAACAGAGTGGATAGTGGTACGTAGCTTACTGACTGACTCAACCCTGAGCTATGAGAACAGAGTGGATAGTGGTACGTAGCTTACTGACTGACTCAACCCTGAGCTCTATGAGAACAGAGTGGATAGTGTAACGTAGCTTACTGACTGACTCAACCCTGAGCTCTATGAGAACAGAGTGGATAGTGGTACGTAGCTTACTGACTGACTCAACCCTGAGCTCTATGAGAACAGAGTGGATAGTGGTACGTAGCTTACTGACTGACTCAACCCTGAGCTCTATGAGAACAGAGTGGATAGTGGTACGTAGCTTACTGACTGACTCAACCCTGAGCTCTATGAGAACAGAGAGGATAGTGGTACGTAGCTTACTGACTCACTCAACCCTGAGCTCTATGAGAACAGAGTGGATAGTGGTACGTAGCTTACTGACTGACTCAACCCTGAGCTCTATGAGAACAGAGTGGATAGTGGTACGTAGCTTACTGACTGACTCTTCAATCTGAGCTCTATGAGAACAGAGTGGATAGTGGTACGTAGCTTACTGACTGACTCTTCAATCTGAGCTCTGAGAACAGAGTGGATAGTGGTACGTAGCTTACTGACTGACTCAACCCTGAGCTCTATGAGAACAGAGTGGATAGTGGTACGTAGCTTACTGACTGACTCAACCCTGAGCTCTATGAGAACAGAGTGGATAGTGATACGTAGCTTACTGACTGACTCAACCCTGAGCTCTATGAGAACAGAGTGGATAGTGGTACGTAGCTTACTGACTGACTCAACCCTGAGCTCTATGAGAACAGAGTGGATAGTGGTACGTAGCTTACTGACTGACTCAACCCTGAGCTCTATGAGAACAGAGTGGATAGTGGTACGTAGCTTACTGACTGACTCAACCCTGAGCTCTATGAGAACAGAGTGGATAGTGGTACGTAGCTTACTGACTGTAATTCTGACTCACTACGTATTTCACTGTGCGTGATTTTGATTAATTAGAACATTTTAAAAACTCAGTCAGACGCATGCATAAAAACAATTTGTATTTCTGTTGTGGTCTCTAGTGGACAGATGTTGTGTGTTCATGAAAAATGTATGTCCATTTCTGTTTGTTTTCTTCTGGTTCCAGGCTCACTGGTGGGCGGTGCTGTTGATGGGCATCGCTCTGATCATGTTGATGGCTGGCTTCATTAAGATCTGCAGTGTCCACACCCCCTCCAGCAACCCCAAACTGCCCCCACCCAAACCACTACCAGGTGAGTCTCCACACCCCCTCCAGTAACCCCAAACTGCCCCCACCCAAACCACTACCAGGTGAGTCTCCCCTTCCAGCAACCCCAAACTGCCCCCACCCAAACCACTACCAGGTGAGTGTCCACACCCCCTCCAGTAACCCCAAACTGCCCCCACCCAAACCACTACCAGGTGAGTCTCCACACCCCCTCCAGCAACCCCAAACTGCCCCCACCCAAACCACTACCAGGTGAGTCTCCACACCCCCTCCACCAACCCCAAACTGCCCCCACCCAAATCACTACCAGGTGAGTCTCCACACCCCGTTGTGCAAATCTTCAAATGAAGGGGTTGTGAAAATGTATTTGGAAACGGGTCAGGAGCAGAGAACTACACAAAATAAAAACGAGTGTTGTCAGAAGTGGCCAGGTCGCCTTTGAAATAGAGGTGTTTTGAGCTCTATGGAACTACCTGGTGAGATAAAGATTCAAATAGAAATGCCTGTGAAAAGACAGGCATGTTCTGCTAAACCAGTGGTCACCAACCTTTTCTGAGTCCAGATCACTTCCTGAGTCAAAATGAAAGCCGAGATCTACCGCTCAGATTTAGTTTTAAACATGACTTTTAAAAAAAGGTTTGTAGTATTATGAGGTTTGTGCAGTAGGTAATAGTCCCAGTACATTATCACTGCATATTGGCTTTGCTTGAATTGCCCTGCCAGTGTTGTTTTTTTCTTCTAAGACCATTTTGAAATTATTTTTCAAAATTGGAGGTATATGATCACACTGGTAATATAATGTTTGTTGTATTACTTGTGAGGCACAGCTAAGTGATGAATTATTTTTAATTTTTTTACTGGACTGATGGCCTGCATCTGATGGTCAGTCTGAGGGGAGGGGGGGGAGCAGCAGTGAGGCTGCCTCTCACCTGGCTCACCGCTCTCAGCTGAGAAAAGGGGACAGTCTTCCAGGTGATGGCCAAACTCAAGTCACACTGCATGCAGCAATTCATGTTGTTACTCCTATGACCAGAGAAAGTGAAATATTCCTCGATATTAAAAAAGACACAAGCCGCTAATAATACACTGAACAAAAATATAAATGCAACAAAAAGTTACAGTTCATATAAGGTCAATAAAAATAATTAAAGAAGAAACATTTTTATTTTAACCTTTATTTAACCAGGTAAGCCAGTTGAGAACAAGTTCTCATTTACAACTGCGACCTGATAAATAAATAAATTAGGCTCTGATCTATGGATTTCACATGACTGGGAATACAGATATGGATCAGTTGGTCACAGATACCTTACAAAAAAAGGCAGGGGCGTGATCGGAAAACCAGTCAGTATCTGTTGTGACCACAATTTTCCTTGTGCAGCGCGACACATCTCCTTCGCATAGTTGATCAGGCTGTTGATTGTGGCCTGCGGAATGTTGTCCTACTCTTCAATGGCTGTGCGAAGTTGCGGTAACTGGAACACGCTGTCGTACACGTCGATCCAGAGCATCCCAAACATGCTCAATGGGTGGTGACATGTCTGAGTATGCAGGCCATGGAAGAACTGGGACATTTTCATCTGCTGGGAATTGTGTACAGATCTTTGCGACATGGGGCCGTGCATTATCATGCTGAAACAGGAGGTGATGGCGGCAAATGAATGGGCCTCAGGATCTCGTCACGGTATCTCTGTGCATTGAAATTGCCATTGATAAAATGCAATTGTGTTCGTTGTCTGTAGCTTATGCCTGCCCATACCATAACCCCACCTCCACCATGGGGCACTCTGTTCACAACGTTGACATCAGCAAACCGCTCCCCCACACGGCGCCATATACACTGTCTGCCATCTGCCCGGTACAGTTGAAACTGGGATTCATCCATGAAGAGCACACTTCTCCAGCATGCCAGTGGCCATCGAAGGTGAGCATTTGACCACTGAAGTCGGTTGCGACGCCGTACTGCAGTCAGGTCAAGACCCTGGTGAGGACGACGAGCCCGCAGATGAGCTTCCCTGAGACGGTTTCTGACTGTTTGTGCAGAAATTCTTCAAAACCCACACTTTCATCAGCTGTCTGGGTGTCTGGTCTCAGATGAAGCCTGTTGTGGAGGTCCTGGGCTGCCATGGTTACACGTGGTCTGCGGTTGAGAGGCCATTTGGACGTACTGCCAAATTCTCTAAAACGACGTTGGAGGCGGCTTATGGTAGAGAAATAAACATTAAATTCTCTGGCAACAGCTCTGGTAGACATTCCTGCAGTCATCATGCCAATTGCACGCTTCCTCAACTTGAGACATCTGTGGCATTGTGTTGTGTGACAAAACTGCACATTTTATAATGGCCTTTTATTGTCTCCCGCACAATTTTTTTTATTGTTGAACAAGGTGTTAACAGTGCTGAATAACAACTTAAACATGAAGTTACTCATAAAATCAGCAGCTCTTCGCTGTATTCGTTGAGTTTCTCTCTAGTCATGGTTTGAAACGTTTTAATCTCACAGTATCAACTTTGCTGTGCGATCAGGACAATCTTTTTTTTTTATACAGTCTACGGCTCGAGGAAACTGTGCAGACAAGGTGATCTGAGCTATCTGATTGGTCAGCGGTAGGCCTATAGGTGCACTTGATTTGCTCTCTGGACCTGCCGAGTAGACAGAGTTCTACCTTCAGACACATGAAGTGGTTCAACATGGGAACACGTTGCCTTCCTGACGCTAGGGCTGCTGAATCAAGCGCACCTACCGGCAACAGCTCTAGGGCTGCTGAATCAAGCGCCTACCGGCAACAGCGCCAGGGCTGCTGAATCAAGCGCACCTACCGGCAACAGCGCCAGGGCTGCTGAATAAAGCGCACCTACCGGCAACAGCTCTAGGGCTGCTGAATCAAGCGCACCTACCGGCAACAGCTCTAGGGCTGCTGAATCAAGC